TTTTTCTTGGGATGGTCTGCAAAGAGTGGAGAGAGTGAGGAAGAGGAAAGAGGGCAGTAGGGCTAAACCAGAGGGAGTGTTTTAAGCAGCTGTCTGAGAGGTCTTTCACGCCTGTCCTCTTTTCCTTGTTCTTTTTTTTTATTATTTTTAATAATCTTTTTTTTTTAAAAGAAAAAAAAAAAAAACTTTTTTTTCTTTTATTTGTTATTTTATTAATCTCTTGTGTGAGGATCTTAATGTATATTGGTTGATATGTTTATATGGTTCTGTCACACATGAGAACTAGTTCTATCAGTTTGTTATGAAGTCAACAATTAGCTTTTTATGAAGGAACCTTCTATATACAACAGTTTGCTTCATAGCAAAATTGTTAGTACTATACTAAAAATTGGCTTAAGCGGCTGTCTAGTATCGGCTGCCTCTAATTTGCATAAATCAACTGAAAAAATTAGCCAGACTGACAGGCGGGCTCGACGGTCAGGCGGCGTCTAAGCGGTATCGACGACAGTTTTTTAGATTTTTTCAACAACAACAAAGTCTTTTAGTCTCAAACAAGTTGGGGTAGGCTAGAGATGAAACTCAATAGAAACAGTAGTAAGAAAAAAAAAGAAAAAAAAAAAAAAAAAACGTTGGAGCAAAAGAGAAAGGAGCAAAAGTCACGGTTCCGGCACGTTGATCGCTAGTCTCCAAGCGCTCCTATCCACCGCTAAATCCTTGGAGATATTCCAATCTTTAAGGTCTCTCTGAACCGACTCTTCCCAAGTGAGTTTAGGCCGACCTCTACCTCTCTTAACAACATCGGCCCGCTGTAGAACTCCCCTGTGCACCGGTGCATCAGGTGGCCTCCGTTGGACATGTCCGAACCACCTCAACCGATGTTGAACCAATTTCTCCTCAATTGGGGCCACCCCGACCCTATCACGAATATCCTCATTTCGGATTCTATCTCTTCTTGTGTGCCCGCAAAACCAACGCAACATCCGCATCTTTGCTACACTTAGTTGTTGGACATGTTGCCTTTTTGTAGGCCAACATTCAGCACCGTATAGCATCGCCGGGCGAATCGCCGTCCTATAGAACTTACCTTTTAGCTTTTGTGGCACCCTCTTATCACAGAGAACGCCCGAAGCTTGACGCCATTTCAACCAACCGACTGCAATTCTATGCCTAACATCTTCATCAATGCCGCCATCCTTTTGTAGCATCGATCCTAAATACCGAAAAGTCTCCTTCTTGGCCACCACTTGCCCGTCAAGGCTAACATCACCATCATCATGAGTAGCCATGCTGAAAGCGCACGTCATGTACTCGGTCTTCGTCCTACTAAGTTTTTTAGATTTTTTCATACTAATTATATTATTTTATATCATTTTTTTAAAATAGATTAATATTATTATTGGATTATGTGTGGTGATTTATTATAAGTTAAGATAGTTTTAATTTGTATGTAGTAAAAATAAATAAAAAAAAAGGTACTTAATATTATTTCTAGGTCGCGCCTAAACGCTCTAGGCGCTAACTTTTGGTCAGGCTCTTAGATACTTCTATATAAACATATAATAGGTGATGTTAAAAACTTATATAATTGGCTTTATATTTTTTAGAGAAACTCTATAGTTGCTCTACATAGCAACTTTACTTTAGAATAGTGCAATGTTGCGCTATATTTTTGTACTACTCTAAAGATGTGAAAAAAAATTGTGCTACACATAGAATGCTACTATTCACCCACTACGATTTTTTCTTCAAAGTATTATTTTTTTTAATTTTATTTCTAGATGTTAGTTTGACAAAGTATACATTAAAGAAATTATTTATTTTGTTAAATAATCCTAAATTTTAATTTTATAATTGTATTTAAATTTTATTTTGTATGAAGATATTGTAGTTTTGTGGTTTGTGAATATCAAGAAGATGACTTAAGGATAATGAAGAAAACAAAAACAAAATCAAAGTTGAAACACATAATAGTTATGTTCTCCTTAAGACAAAATGCCCGTAAAATACCTACGTTTGTGCCTCCAATATACAATGACGTTTGACTTATAAATAGCGGTATTTCAAATATACAAGCCTTCCTCGAATAATATTATTGTATGGAACTCTCAAGACTCAACGAAAAAAATCAAAGAACACAATATACTTTATGAACTTTAAAAATGTAATGAAGAGCTCTTAATATTCAAGTTGGTGAATTATTTCTTGTTAGTGGATATTTATACATGTAGAAAAACACCTCCAAGGTGGTTTCTTCATGAACATAGGGATATGTACCATCACGGGTGCTGAACTATGGGGACTACTACAGGGGTTACAATTGGCATGGGATCTAGGCTTTCGCCAAATTATTGCAGAAGTGGACAGCCAGTGCGTGTTGAATATGGTGCTTGGATCTAACGGAGACTTTGGAGTTCATACGGCGATCGTGCAGGCTATACGTCATATGATGCGAAAGAGTTGGGACGTGAAACTCTACTATGTGCATAGAGATGCGAACTTTGCAGCGGATTATATGGCAAGCTTAGCGGCTTTGTCCTCGATAGGCTTGAAACGGTTATCGGACCCTCCTGATGGCCTTGGGTCATGGCTTGATCATGATCTTATTGGGATCTCTTATCCTCGGCGTGTGCTAGCCTAAACCGACTTATTAGGCATTTGGCCTCTTCTTATGTACCAAAAAAAACAAAGAAAAACACCTCCAAGAGTTGTAAGCGTCAAAAGACAACTTTTGAGATGTGCCCGAACGAGAACGGACGCGTCTAGATGCCAAAAGATATCTTATGGTCACTAAGGGTCGCAAACCTTCGCTGGCCGGGGCTAGCTGCGCGTCCGTGTGCCGCGGGTTCGCACGAGCTCATCTGGACTCAGAATGAAGTTCTGTTTTTCCTAATAGTCTCCAACAAACCCTTCTAGAGTACTAGCATGCAAACTGCAAGATCATGTTTCATTTGGATTTTCCTCACATTCGTCAAAGATAGAATGTTTCCAATAAATTGAGTTACTTAAGCTCAATTGTTTCAACCTTACATTTCCCACATAGAATTAAATTCTCATTCACCTTGAAATGGTTTTGAGAAATTTTTAAGTTTTCCACTTAAAAAAATGAAACTGTAAAATTGACACAAAACTATTTTTTTTATAGATATTACATATAAAATAAAATGTAACGCAGACAACTAAAAACGAAAATTAAAAATTTCATTCTCTACTTCAAAGTAAACTCGAAGCGAAAGTACAGTAGGATTGCAAATGGTCTCAGCGCATCTCCAATATTTAATATTTATGTAACTTTAAAGAGCGTTTGAAAAGATTAATAGAACGGTCGGATCGTTCTCAAAAGGAAGGCGCTTCGGAGCTTTATCTACTACTCGATTGTTCAAATCACAAAAAGAGAAAAATAAAGCCTAAACATTCTAAACAATTGGATTGGAATTGGATTTAACACTAAGAGAGAGCAATTAACTAAGAGCAATATCAAATGACGAGCAACTAGCGAAACTTGACCATCGGAGTCTCATGCCATCAACACAACGAGATGATAATCAACGACAAAGAGGAATAAACAAGCTATGAACACTAGGTCATTAACCCTATCCTTCTAACCCTAAGTAATTAAGCCCTAATTGGGTTTTAATCCTTAAACGAGATCGATAAGCAATTAATCCCTATAACTACTCAAGCAAGCAATAAGGGTAATCAATTCCCAATTTTCCCTCCATCATCAACCATACTCAAATTTACCCTAATAAACATTATAAGAAAAAATGAGGCAAAAATCGAAGTAAAGAGCTTTAAAACTAAATACCCATTCTTCTATTGCGTAGACTATGAAAAACGGAGTCAAAAGCTCGAAACTTAAAAGAAACGAAAGTCGCCGGAAAACCTCCCGAAAAATGACATAAGCTCCTTAGTCTAGAGAGCAAACATAAACATACACTAAGAACCAAAAAAAGGAAAAATGATATAATGAAATGTGGATGTTCAAAATGCAAAGGAAAAAACATTATTATAGTGTTCTCCAAAAATCACACACTAGGTGCACACACATTTAATGATCTGCAGTTCGTCGGTCTCGAAATAGTCTAGAGAGCAAACATAAATATACACTAAGTACCAAAAAAAGGAAAAATGATATAATGAAAGGTGGATGTTCAAAATGCAAAGGAAAAACATTATTATAGTGTTCTCCAAAAAGCATACACTAGGTGCACACACATTTAATGATCTGCAGTTCGTCGGTCTCGAAATCCAATTCGCAGCGAGTTTGCACATGAAAATCAACTGGAAATGAGCTTTCGCAGGTCCCCAAAACGGGTTCGCAACGTGTGTGAAGGTTGGTTGGTGTGCGGGCGCGTTTCGCGGGTCGCCAACGTTCGTTCGCTCGTGCATGGGAGATGAGTTGTTGGCGCGCAGCTTCGCGGTACGCGAATGGAAGTCCACCAGCGAGTGCTTGCAAAAGGCTGGTGTGCGGGCGCGTTTCACTGGGCGAGAAGGAAGCCTCGCTACGGTGCCACGTCCTTGGGCTGGGATAATGCGCGCCCCGGTTGTTTCGCTGCACGCGAGGGTGTGCTTGCTGGCGAGCGCTGCCTGCTGGGGTGATGCGCGCGCGTCCGTTTCACAGCTCGTGAACTGCAGCTTGCGGCGAGTGCCAGGCCAAGCCTTCTTTGTGTGGTTCACGGCCCGTCAAAGTGGTTTCGCGGGCGAGTGCGGCCTTCAACTTGATTTCTTCACTCGGGTGACTCCCTCGGCTATTCTCTCCCTTGGAAATTTATGGGATTCGATCCAACGGCTCGATTATCTTGTCTCGGAATGGCTCGAACGGCATGTATCACCGGAATTATAATTTTTGACC